GATGAAGATGTGATGAAGATGAGATGAAGATGAGATGATGTGAAGGTGATATGATGTGAAGATGTGAAGATGAAAAGATGAGAAGAGAGAGAGAGAAGGAGAGAGAGTGAAGATGTGAAGATGAGAAGATGAGAAGGTGGGATGAAGATGTGATGAAGATGTGATGAAGATGAGATGATGTGAAGGTGAGATGATGTGAAGGTGAGAAGATGTGAAGATGAGAAGAGAGAGAGAGAGAAGGAGAGAGAGTGAAGATGTGAAGATGAGAAGATGTGAAGATGAGAAGATGTGAAGATGTGATGAAGATGTGATAAAGATGTGAACATATGAAGATGTATAGCAGACCTCCACCATTAGAAGACCCCTTCGCTCAGAGGCTCTCGGGAAAAAACAGGGGGATGAGAGCAGGTGCGACCTGAACATAGGAATGATATTGGGTATGTCATATATGGCGAGGGTTCAAAATTCAAAAGCCTGGTACCTGCCCCAAAAATTCAGTAGGTTTTGAATTTTGCCTCATCCCAAAATGTTCAAGGGGAGGGAATAAGGGTCAATCCATTGGTGTTCAACCACAACAAAGAGATTGTTCTGGCAGTGTTAGTTTTCATGAGTTCAGCTGACCCTCCACAGTTAATCTTGGAAACCATGTTGCACCTTCCAGGTATTGTCAAGTTTCACCATTTCCGATTTGGGTATGGCTCAAAAATGGGGTGCCAGTGGTTGTCAGCACCAAACCGTACATACGGGCCATAGCCATTTCGCTGTTCAACTTCAGGGACCCCTTGTGTCAAGGTGCTTCGAAGCCAAGGCCATCGCAGTACTCCAGGTACTGCACAAGTTCTTTGGGGAAGCCTCTGCCTTTTGCGCCGGCGGCGAGCCAATTTGGGGATGGTGAAAGCCCCCTAGAGACCGCATTGGCAAGCAGGAGGTCTGCGTCATCACCACATGAGACTGAAGGAAGGCTTAGATTCTTAGATACATTGAAATATAAATCCACGACTTTGGGTTTCCACCCTCTCTCTTCTTTCATCACCAAGTGGCACAGCTTTTCATGCGACGTTGAGGCTTTTTTCTTGCCAATGCGTTTCTTCCGCTTCTTCTTGTCACGATGATTGATGCCCTGCCTCGGTGGGTTTTGTTAACAATCCTGTGGTACCATGGCAACCATAATACCTGGTGAACACCAAAAAAGATGATAAATGGATGTTCATCCCAGTATTCCAGTGGTCCCATAGGTGTTGACCCATTCCCTCTTTTGATTTGGCTTGTCCCTACCGGAAGTACCTGTGATGGTGCACCCTGAAACAGCGAACATCTTTAGTATTCACTATTCAATGGCGCGGCGAAAATCAGCCTAACTACCAGCCACAACAGGGTTTCCGAGGCTGGAGATATGCTACCAACCAGATTCTATGGTTTATCATCAGCTTCCCCATTAAAATTGCCGTGTCGTGATCCTCCATTTGCAGCTACCAAAACCCAGATCTTATTAAGCCCGGCAAGACCAATGATGGAACCCCATGTTGATGGACGGTTTTGATACCAGCTGCCATGGAAGTTGACCACGCAAGAAGTAGAGAAGGACCTTGGAGCTCTCGTGGGAACTCATCCAGCATTGAAACCCATGCCTTTTTGCCCAAAAGGAAGGGGGTTTAAACGTAGATTTTGCCTTCTAATTCTTGGCCCCTTTGTACTTGTCGCTTAATCGAATTCCTATCATGGGCTCACGGATCCCCATTCAAGAAGGTGGTACAACCCTGTATAGCCTATAACCAATCAAGGAGAGTTTTCGTCACTGCTCGTGTGACTAAAATGTCGCTATCACCAAACAACCGCTGGAGTATGAACACAGAGATGTCAAAATGTCATGTAATATGTAAGCAAGAAATCTTAGCAGTCTCGACAATCACAATAAAAGTGGGATAGGTGCCAAACAATGACACCCTTGCAGCAACCTGCATGTCGTTCAAATGGTCACAAGTGCTGAACTTGAACTTAATTCTATACAAGTTTTGCAGTCGTATGGAATCCTCCTTTACGGACAAGAATTCGTTTCCAGACCGCCAACTCGGCAAACGGCACAGGAGCATTGTGCACTGGCAAACTAAAAGTTGTAAAACTGGCTTTCACTAACTACTGTATTGGAAAGGATTTCACCTGAAGTCATGTCACACGTCAACAAAACATGTTCGAGTGTGGGTATGTCCGAAATTGAACCACATTGCTTTCCCCACCAAAATGGATGATGAAATAGTGATCGGATTTGGGGTTCCCTTTATCGGTTTCTTAGCCACACCCACAAAAGGACTCCACCGTCCTCTTCTCACACTTTTTGCGAGTTATTGTTGCCACAAAACCAGGCTCGCAAAATGTTGAGATAGGCCATACCATGAGACCCCTGTGTGAGGGCTTACATCATGTTTCACCTCCCACCTCACCCAACTTCCCCACACCATCTCCCACCAAGCTGTCCTCAGGGAGGGACGTATCCGATCGAGCCTAGATCGTCTCCTTAGCAAACCGCAGGTCAACTGGAAACACTGCGATCCATTTTCAACACCTGTGGCTGAGGACGTCTAGAATTATCCATCTGAAACCAGGGAGGCAACTTCCAAATCTCCATACTGGACAACACTGGAGTTCTTGCCTGCGACTACACCCTCCACTGTTGGTTTGTCTTATATAGTCAGTTTTAAAAAATTTGGGTCGATGAACAATGACTTTTCCCATAGGAACACATCTGAAGGCAAGCCTATTGTGGTTCGACCAATCAGGCGGCATCATGCATGCTGGGGTTGTCTGTAACAACCATCGGCATGGCCTCAGGAAATATGAGTCCCACATTGTGAGGGTTCCACCAACAGTTCTTCTGCTATATCCCAACTTCCTTAAAACACGTGTGTATAACTGTATACCCGTATGTATGTATGTCTATGTGTGTACGTGTGTACGTGTGTACGTGTGTACGTGTGTACGTGTGTACGTGTGTACGTGTGTACGTGTGTATCTGTGTATGTGTGTGTGTGTATGTGTGTATGTATGTATGTATGTATGTATGTATGTGTGTGTATGTATGTATGTATGTGTATGTGTGTGTATGTATGCGTATGTATGTGTATGCATATGTATGTATGTATGTATGTATGTGTATGTGTATGTGTATGTATGCGTCTGTATGTGTATGTATGTGTATGTGTGTGTATCTATGTGTATCTATGTGTATGTATGCGTATGTATGTGCATGTATGTGCATTCACGTGTATGTATGTGTATGTATGTGTATGTATGTGTATGTGTATGTATGTGTATATGTATGCATGTGTAAGTGTATGTGTATGCATGTGCATGTGAATGCATGTGTATGTGTATGCATGTGTATGTATGTCTGTGTGTATGTGTGTGTATGTGTATGTATGCGTCTGTATGTGTATGTATGTGTATGTGTGTGTATGTATGCGTATGTATGTGTATGCATATGTATGTATGTATGTATGTATGTATGTATGTATGTGTATGTATGTGTATGTACGTGTATGTATATTATGTATGGGTATGGGTATGGGTATGGGTGAGGGTATTGGTATGTGTATGTGGATGTGCATGTGTATGTGTATGTGTACGAGTACGTGTATGTGTATGTGTACGAGTACGTGTATGTGTATGTGTATGTATGTATGTATGTATGTATGTATGTATGTATGTATGTGTATGTATGTGTGTGTGTATGTATGTATGTGTATGTATGTGTATGTATGTGTATGTATATGTATGGGTATGGGTATGGGTATGGGTATGGGTGAGGGTATGTGTATGTGTATGTGGATGTGCATGTGTATGTGTATGTGTACGTGTACGTGTATGTGTATGTGTGTGTGTATGTATGTGTATGTGTATGTATGTGTATGTGTGTGTGTGCATGTGCGTGTATGTATGTGTATGTATGTGTATGTATGCGTATGTATGTGCATGTATGTGTATGTATGTGTATGTATGTGTATGTATGTGTATGTGTATGTATGTGTATATGTATGCATGTGTATGTGTATGTGTATGCATGTGCATGTGTATGCATGTGTACGTGTACATGTATGTGTATGTGTGTGTGTATGTATGTGTGTGCATGTGTATGTATGTCTGTGTGTATGTGTGTGTGTATGCATATGTATGTATGTATGTATGTATGTATGTGTATGTATGTGTATGCATGTGTATGTATGTCTGTGTGTATGTGTGTGTATGTGTATGTATGTATGTATGTATGTGTATGTATGTATGTGTATGTGTGTATGTATGCGTGTGTATGTGTATGTATGTGTATGTGTATGTGTATGTGTATGTGTATGTGTATGTGTATGTGTATGTGTATGTGTATGTGTATGTATGTCTATGTATGTCTATGTGTATGTATGTCTATGTGTATGTATGGCTATGTGTATGTATGTATATATGTATGTCCGTATGTCTCTCTCTGTATGTCTCTCAGTCTGTATGTCTGTCTGTATGTTTCATTAGGTACGTAGGTACGTACATATGTACGTATGTAAAGTCACCCACAGCAAAACCAAAACTCGTTTCTCAATCTGCTGGATTTTACGGTTCTATCTTTTTGGAGTTGCTATGTACGCATAGTAAATATATATATATGCATATACATGTATTGTAAACATGTGCCTGTCTTGGTTGGTGGTCTCCCAAATTTTCTCGCCCAGCCGCTGCGACTTGGCTCAAGACCCTGGTGCAAGTTCACCTCAGCGGAGTTATTTGCAACGCTTTGCTATGGAAAGTGACCATTTTTTGGGGTAAACCATCGTTTTTTATCATCTAGAAATTGGCCGTTTTCCATAGCTATGCTCAATAGATATGAATATGCGCCATGGTCAGGTTACTTCTGGGAATATCTGGGAATATCTGGTGGTTGATCTAAATTCTTTCTTCAGGAAACAGCCATTATATCATCGTAAATATGATTCCTTACAAGGACGTTTAGATCAACCACCATATGGGAATGTATGGTATTACACCAAAAACAATGGGGATATGATAAACATGCAAATATAAGGATATGATTATACCAGTAATACCGCACAAGGCGGCGGCGGAAGTTTCAAAAATAGGAAACCTATAGGATAGGTTGGTTGCTGTGAACCACGGATGGCAGAGCGAATCCACCGATGGACCGAAAGATGGTTGTAGTTTTTTTTTTGGAGTGGTTGCGGTGGTTGCAGTGGTCACCTCAGCACAACTGCTGGATGCAGTGCAGTGTAGCGCAGTTGTAGTTGTAGTGTAATGGAGTTGTAGTTGTAGTGTAGTGTAATTAGTGTAGTGTAGGCGTAGTTGCAGTTGTAGTTGTGGTTGTGGTGTGGTGTAATTGGTGTAGCCTAGCGTAGTGTACATGTGTACTGTAGCGTGGTATACTGTAGTATAGTCTAGTGTAGTGCAGTGTAAAATTGTGTTAGTGTTAGTGTTGTTGTTGTTGTTGTTGTTGTTGTTGTGGTTGTGTTGTGTAGTGTAGCGTAGCGTAGCGTAGTGTAGTGTAGTGTGTGTAATTAGTGTAGTGTAGTGTAGCGTAAGGTAGTGTAATGTAGTGGTAGTTGTAGTTGCAGTTGCAGTTGTAGTTGTAGTGTAATGTAATATAGTGTAGTGTAGTGTTGTGTAATGTCGTGTAGCTGTAGTTGTAGCTGCAGTGTGCTGCAGTGTAATCAGTGTAGTTGTAGTTGCAGTGTGCTGCAATGTAATTATAGTTGTAGCTGTGGTAGTGGTAGTTGTGTAATTGTAGTTGCAGCTGTGGTGGTAGCAGTAGCAGTAGTAGTAGCTGCTGTTGTTGTGTAATTAATGCAATTAGTGCAATTAGTGTAATTTGTGTAATTAGTGTAGAGTAGTGTGGTGTAATTAGATGTTATGAGTGTCGTGTAGTGTAATTAGTGTAGTGTAATGTGGTGTAGTATATTCTATTTGTAGTTGTAATAGTAGTACTAGTAGTAGTAGTAGTAGTAGTAGTACTACTACTACTACTACTACTAGTACTACTACTAGTACTAGTAGTAGTACTAGTACTAGTAGTAGTACTAGTACTAGTAGTAGTACTAGTACTAGTAGTAGTTCTAGTAGTAGTACTAGTAGTAGTACTAGTAGTACTAGTAGTACTAGTAGTACTAGTAGTAGTAGTAGTAGTAGTAGCACTAGTAGTAGTACTAGTAGTAGTACTAGTAGTAGTACTAGTAGTACTAGTAGTAGTACTAGTAGTAGTACTAGTAGTTCTAGTAGTAGTACTAGTAGTAGTACTAGTAGTAGTACTAGTAGTAGTACCAGTAGTAGTAGTAGTACTACTACTACTACTAGTAGTAGTAGTAGTAATAGTAGTAGCAGTAGTGGTAGTGGTAGTGGTAGTCGTAGTCGTAGTCGTAGCAGTAGTTGTTGTAGTCGTCGTCGTCGTAGTAATAGTAATAGTAATAGTAATAGTAATAGTAATAGTACTAGTACTAGTACTAGTAATAGTAATAGTAATAGGAATAGGAATAGTAATAGTAATAGTAATAATAATAGTAATAGTAATAGTAATAGTAATAGTAGTAGTACTGGTAATAGTAATAGTAATAGTAATAGTAATAGTAATAGTAATTAGTAATTAGTAATTAGTAATTAGTAATAGTAATAGTAATAGTAATAGTAATAGTAATAGTAATAGAAATAGTAATAGTAATAGTAATAGTAGTAGTCATCGTCGTCGTAGTGGTAGTGGTAGTGGTAGTGGTAGTGGTAGTGGTAGTGGTGGTGGTGGTGGTGGTGGTGGTGGTGGCGGTGGTAGAAGTAGTAGTAGTAGTAGTAGTAGTAGTAGTAGAAGTAGTGTAGCGTAGCGTAGCGTAGCGTAGGGTAGCGTAGCGTAGTGTAGCGTAGTGTAGCATAGCGTAGCTTAGCGTAGCGTAGCGTAGTGTAGTGTAGTGTGGTGGCGGTGGGGGTGGCAGTGGCAGTGGCAGTGGCAGTGGCAGTGGCAGTGGCAGTGGCAGTGGCAGTGGCAGGGCAGTGGCAGTGGCAGTGGCAGTGGCAGTGGCAGTGGCAGTTGTAGTTGTAGTTGTAGTTGTAGTTGTAGTTGTCTGTCTATCTATCTATCTATCTATCTATCTATCGACCTACCTACCTACCTAGCTACCTATCTATCTATCTATCTATCTATCTATCTGTCTATCTGTCTATCTGTCTATCTGTCTATCTGTCTATCTGTCTATCTGCAAGCTTGAAAACTAAGCTATTCTGCCTGGCTTCCTCAATTTTTCAAGCTGGCAACATCAAAAATGCAGCACTTCTGCGAGTCTTCCTCAATTTTTGAACTTGACAACGTCAACAACGAAACAATTCTGCTAGACTTCCTCTAGTATTGAAGTTGGCAACATCAAAAACGAAGCAATTCTGCGAGACTTCCTTCAATAATGGAAAGTTGAGTGCAGAGCGGACGTCCTCGTGCCAATGCGCTTTGCGATTATTTCCAGTCCATGTGTCTAAAGTATTGCGCCTGCTACGAAAAAGTGAGGCCAGGTCATACAAAGTGCTGCACCTGTCACGCAAAATCCTCTTCGCAACCCTGAAGATCTGATGCTCCAAAATGCAACCCCACTCAGGAAATCAGCGGCCTGACCTCCTAACATCTCTGATGAAAATGTCTCTTGTACTACGATTGCCACGCGAAATCCATCTTTGTAGATCCTCTTCAAATGTCCCACGCCTGCCATCGCTTTTGGAAATGCTACAAAACCTTCACGTTTTGCTCACTTTTGGCAGGGTGCAGAATCCCTTGCGCCTGCCACACAAAACGACGCTTCAACGGCCAAAAGTGGCACACACACATTTGTTGTGGTTTGTGCATTTTGACTTCGAAATGTGCTTCGCGCCACAACGGCGTGCACCTTTTCAACATCTCAACTTCCAAAAGTGCTCCGAGGCTGAAGTGCTTTGTGCATTTTGACTTCGAAGCGCGCTTCGCACCACAACGGCGTTCATATTATTTTGAACATCTCAACTTCCAACAGTGGTCCGAGCCCACAACGGCGTGCAATTTTTCATCTCTCATCTGGCGAGATGGCTTCGCACCCGCCGCTTTAGCAACCTACTTTTCGACCCTGTGGAGCCACAAATCATTGGAAAACACAGTGTTTCGCGACTTTCCTACCTTTTCGCGCATCTGCATCTTCTTTCCTCTGACTCTTTCTCTTCTCTGATCTTCTTTCTTCTTCTCTTCTCTTCTCTATTCTTCTGCTGCTTTTCCATCTGTCAATATTGTCTGTGGTATGGTCTTCGGTCCATCATGAATGGGATTCGCAAAAGAATGGGAAACAAACCCCTATGAAAAGGTTGGGATTATCATCCCCTTTTATGGAAAACAAACCATGTTTTGACCATGAAACATATGGGGATAGATCATGCCAGCTAATCCAGCTATACCAGCTCACTAGGGATGTTCATCAAGGTACCAGGGTTTTGATATCTATATCATAGATATATCATATGCTGGATATCTCCGTATACCTAAGGCCAGCCTTCCAAACTGGGATCTGGCAACATGGGCTCGGTGACAGGGAAGGGTCCAGAATACGGCCCTTACATTCAGACATCTCCATGAGTCACCCTGGTACCTTCAGGTTGGAAAATGATAGGGAAATGATGGGAAAATAATGGAAGCAATCCCTTTCAAGGGACCACGGTTCAGGACTCTTATCTGCCCATTCGGAAGTCTGAAGTCTGACCCTCACCACAAGTTCCTCATCGATTCATCCAGGTGAACAAAGTGGTGGGTTACTACCCCGATTTCCCCATACGCATGGCGATGAAAATCATTGCAAATCCATCAGCTTAAAGGGTCCCAACATACCAAGGCTTTCAAAAGCGCCAAGCGTCTGTGGTATATCGGGCTGTACCTGTCATTCCACTCTTCTTGACCATGGGAATGTGTCGGCCATCGGCACCGCGGAAGTACTTGGCAAGGCCAAAATCAACGATGTAGATCTTGTCATGTTGCCCTGGCACTGGGATGGGGGTCTCCCTGCTCGGATGGGGGTTTCCATAGTCATGGGGGTACCCCAATAGATGCATGGTTTGCAATGGAAAAAGCCAAAAAAAAATTGTGATTTAGGGGTACCCCTAGGAAACCACCCGTTGGCGCTGTGAAAAAATGGCAGGACAAGTCTGGGTACCGGTACCAGTTCCTAGCAGCTGATCCCTTGAAATGGCTTTGAGAGCCTAAACAAAGTACAATCATCAGGTTGGGGATTATAAATCCACTACAAATGAAAGTACAACCCCCTACTCTATTTACAAGAAAATCAAAACTGAGTGGCTTCGGACGACTGCCGGGGGTTGAGTGTTCAGATAGTTGCTTTGGTATCTTCAGTTTCAGCGTTATATGGACAAAAAAAATAGCATTGAAGTTGTCAATCTATAAGAGATTTTGATATCGAAAGATCTCTATAGACCAAAAGTATCCAAGAATTGTAAAATTATACGAAAAAAATGCGATTGTTTCCAAGTGCACATTCTCTAATGGTCCGTAATGACACCTGCAAAGCCCCCGCCTTTGGGACCCAAGACAAAATTGCTGGGTTTGATATCCTCGGAAGTTGGACACGCCAGAGCAAATCAAATGGATCCAATCCTTTGTGGATGTAGGAAAAAGACATCTCGAAGTGGCCGGGATTTTTCCACTTCCACCCAGAGAAAGATTCGCACGTTCCCGGCCCTGTCTTCCTTTGCCAGGAAAATCGAGAAAGAAAAGGTGTCGTGGTGAGAGTCACACCCAAAAAAGTGCCCAAAACCCAAAACCTTGTTGTGTCCCACTGCATGTCGCAAGTGTGCTTGGGGGGTTCCAAGATGGAAACACACAAGGGATACCCTCATGGGAATGCCCTGAACATGTCTCAATCAACTTCCTCCAAGCGTCTCGATGGATCACCTTGTGCGAATGAACAAACTCAATGCCTTGGGCGGTGATCTGATGCGGTTGGCTAAATCCACTCATGTTACGGTTCTTGTTAGTCCCCTAACAAATCCTCTATGATCATTGTCGTTCCCATCTGCTGCAGCTCAGCTGCAGTCAATCATCTGCTCAGCCATCATCAGCACGGTCTTCAAGCTGAACTTCCGGTGACACTTCCTGGGACAAAATCCGAAGAGAATTGGTATACTTGGTATACCTTCTGTATAATATATCATAATTATAATATCATAATTATTCATAATTTATATACAAATAATATGTAATCAGAATTCAGAATTGCGGATTTATTTTTTTTCTGTACCCAAACTAATCTGGCAATGGGAATCCCATTTCTATGGGAAAATAAAGGGAAAACATCTTTAAGCAAGAGTAAGCTGCAAAAACTCAGACAGACAATAGCAAAGGACCTTTAGTCCTGGTGCCATGGCAAATATTCCATGAATCAGGAATGGACCATTCAATTCTTTATTTGGAATGCACGAAGTTAGTGGAGCTCGTTTAGGTGATGATTAAGCTTCAAAGAGCTTGGCAGATCGGATGGCCAAGTGTCTTCATGAAGACATCTTCCAGCGAAGGGCCCAGCAAACCCATCGCCATAATGTCATATTCACCCTTGCTGCCTGGCTGTCATTTGGAAGGCCCCAGAAACAACAAATCATAGTGTTAACCCTGGATGAAGAAATCCCCTTATTCATAGGTGCTACCAATCTTGATAATGGTCAATTGTGGTATGGCCATCCTCCAACATAGAGATATGATATGCCTTTCCAACTTCTGACCATGGCACATCTGGTGAAGAGTAATCGATCACTATTTGCAGGGGTAGCAACTTACGGGTAACCCGGCCAATTCATAGCCATCTTGACGTCCCAATCGACATCAGCCACCCATGCTGGCCTACCCACATCACAGAGGTGGTGCGAGGGCTATGTGGCCCAAAGACCTCACAGAGCTCAGCCTCTTTGAGGAGCTTATCCTGGGCCGGTGCCCCCAATCGGTACCTTTGCCTCGGATTTGTGGTGACTGTATCATGATTTGCATCGAACTACTGGTGATTAATCAGGTGATTTATACCCATTTCACTGGGGGGGCACCACCGAATCTGGGACTCTGGGATGATCAAGGGGCGAGAAGTTTCTTCAAGGCTGTCGTCCTCTTCACCCTCTTCTCTTTGGAAAGGCTCAGGAAAACGGTGCAGGTCATGATAATCCTTGATGTACCCTCCAGTAATCAAATATGGCAATGGGAAATCCCCCACAAAAGGGCCTGCAGGGATGTTTTTCTTGATGAATGGGTGATAGTTCCATTTGCATGTTGACTGCCAGAGGGTATTCCTGTTCAACTTGTCGGGAGCACTGCGAGGAAAGAGATACCACCAGCTCACCAAACAGAAAACCTTCGAGATGCTGAGCTGCACTTCCAACCACTGGAGCAGGGAAAGAAAAGGACAACAGAAAACCCCATTTAAGTGAGACCCTCAAGCCTCAAACAGCCCATTTCCAGCAACAGACCCTGGACCCAGCGGCGGTCTTCTCGGCATTTTGCCACTCAAACTTTACGGCCACCAGCTGGTTCTCCTTACACGCAAGCTGAGCCACATGGCGACATAAAAAACGGGGTGCCAAGTGGACCAAAATTCACACAATTGGTCATGTTCAGTATTCATCCATCAAATTTTGACGGGTCAGTAGATTTTCAGCCGGGGTCATGTAGTTCTCCTGTGTCCTCTGATCACCATACCACCCGGATGCCCCATCCTTCTTGTCGAAGGCAAGATGTACCACGCTGTAAGAACCACTTCCAAGCTTTCCTCGTCAGCAATGAGGTGAAACTGTGACAGTTCACCAAACACCTGGAACATTGCAATTGTATAGATTCTCTCTTGAACTCAGATATGGGGATGTGTCAAAAAAACTGCAATATATTGCAATACTATGCAAATATGACCATATACATATATATATATACAAACAGTCTATGTATTTATATGTAATATCATGTTGTTGTCATTGTAATCGTATGTTTGGCATGATGAACACCCACTTGCCAGCTCTTTTCGTGTGAAAATCATGGTTTTGACCCATACTAACGTCCTGACAGATACAGTGCCCCCCTGATCACTGCCGCCCAGCTGCTAAGAATCTGAAAACGCCCCGCCACCGACTTTGGCACAGGGGGTCGGCCATCTGAGGCCTCTTCAGAGGCTGTTTTCATGCGGTGCTTGAAGCAGAAATGTCCCATTTTCCCGATTTCAAACCCTCACGAAGAAAACCAAGCCCAACTGACCCAATTGTTTGACCCAGTGCTCCATTGCGAAGCGGGCCTCACTCGATTCGTCGGGCGGCACAAGTTGCCCCTCCTCCCAGTCAGCTTGGGGTCTGACGGAACCCATCCTGAGCGCAGCTTGGGTGACTGGGCAGGTCATGGCCATGGCTATGGTGGTTCCAATCTGACCCTAGGAACTGCCTCGCATCTTCTCCCGCATCCGCAACTGATCCTTGGGGTCGCGACTTCTTTCGTACACTTGCCTGCTTCTTACCCTAGAACAATATATCTCCCACGTGACTTACGCGTAGATTCGTACAAGTGTCAACAATCCAGTTACATCCCATGCATTGTACCAACTTCCCAAATTCACTGCCAGGCATCAGTCAGACCTGACCCTGCCAAAATGGCCCCCTTGGACTTGAGCCAAAACAAGTCGCCAAGGGCACAGCTCATCCACCAACGGAAGTGGTGATGGTTGTCGGATTTCAAAAGATCACCCTGGCCCAACAAAGATCATAAAAGGGAAGTCACCTCGAAGCATCTTTTTGGTGATGGTTCAATCCCCAAACACCCACGACAAATTGAACCTCATGACATTGCTCTTCAGTCTGTTGTGACAACATGCTTGGGATGTGAATCGTAAGGTAGAGCTTGAACTGGACGCCTACTCGAGGAAATTGGATGCTTTCAGATCCTAGCGGCCCTAGCACAACCCGTTCATAGGCCCACACTGGTACTTAATCTCGAGTCACAATGGCCACAATTGTAGCTCAGCATAGGTCACCCATTTTGGCTGGGTCGATTCCGAATTAAATCTAGTCAACCAATTCACCATTTTCGGCAAGTTCCATCCCCATGTGCATGAAATTCCCATATTCACAGGTTTCATTCCCATGGTTTTGTTGGTTAAATCAGCCATGCCTGGTACCGCAGCCACCGGTTTCAACCCGGGCGGCCACACATTACAGACAAGCGCTCGCGGATTTTCCGCGCATCGCCTGGCAAGAGTCAACCTTCAAAGACTTGGGTTCAGACAACAAAAACGGGTGATTTTAACAAGAAAAACTGTGGTGTAACCCAGAAAAATGTGGATTTACACAAGAAAGACTGGGATTCAACCCATCAAAATCATGGATTTAAGCGAGAAAACTGGGATGCAACCTTCAAAGATGTGGGGGGTTGCAAAACCCAAGAAAAATTGCATCAACGAAACACAACAGAAAGAAGGAGAAAGGGCGAAGGAACCGCTCAAAACAGGGAAATTGCTTATCCGATCCTTGAACTACGCCAACAAGTGGGCCTGGTTTTAGACTAGGCACATAGGCGTTAGGCTGCTAATTGTCCTAAACCCAATTTCCAAAGTTTCTCCTGGTAGAATTTCCAAGGAGTCAGGAGTACCGTAGAAAACCCCTGATGCTTGGACAGAAAACTTTTCCACAGGCCCGCACTTGAGATGAAGATGCATACTTTTTCCTATCCCTGTTGGAACAATAAGCAAAAACTACAACTGATAACTGACAACAGGAATGTGAGATTGAAACATTCAACAGTTTGTGCTCTAGAGAAGACCACATCATTGTTCACAAGAAATGTCACTCCTCACTATGCTCAAATTGATGAGAGGTCTATTGAATGCTGAATCGGCTGACCAAATCCCAAACCATAACATAAAATATATAGAAGAGTGTCCCATCATAGTCCAAGAAGGCTTTGCAACAGGTGGGAAAGCCTGCCTAGCTACCTGGTTTGAAGCCATGTCTTAGATCATCATGTGGTGTATGCGGTGTGTATGCTTCGTTTTTTTTTCAGCCCCCTATTTGGGCATGTCCCATTTGTAAATGGGCGGTCGGTACAAGTGCAAGACCATGGTTCCTCAAAAGTTGCTACCTATAATCCTCAGCAAATTGCAGCGCACGACCGCCCAAATCCTGTGAAGTCTGTAGTTTCCACGTCAGAGATGGCATCATCCTCCTACATGAAACGAATGGGATCAGACACACTTTCAAACTACCTCAACCCACTGATGTGGGTAATTTGCAATAGAAACCATTCAATTTTCAGTTCTCCCCGGGTCCCCTCCGTGGCTAAATCTTCGTTGGTATGTCCCTCTTTGTGTTGCTTTCTGTAACCCATCCAGATTTGAATAGCATGAAATGTTGACCCTGGCGCTCAAGGGAGTGTTCATTGCCTTGAGTTGAGAGGCTTATATAACCATCTTGTCCCTCCACTAGAGCTGGAGACCGACGCGTGATGTGTTCTCGTGGCCCGGCCGTGCCATGCAGAACCTAAGTAACAGTAGATAGACACATGTGTCACTAGCGTCTTTCTTTCCACGTGTTTTTGCTTTCTTCAATCTCTCATCTCACTGCCCGCTGTTACATGTCGCAGGTGTCAGGGGACACCGAAACTGGCCACAGCCACGCGGGCAATGGAAAAGACATATCCGCAGTGCGGTTCCAGGTAGTTATGCATCCATTGGTAGATGTATAGATGCATATATCTACATAATCCACTTATGCCATAAGTGGATTATGTAGATATAGACATCCATATCTGTATACACACATATCGATCTATATATGCATATGTGTATTTATAGCTCCGGTTGACTGTCCAGCACAAGTGGATGGGTGGCCTACCTCGCGAGCATCCCGCGATGCCTTTTGAATCCCAGTTCTGCTTCGATTTGGAGAACGTGTATCATCCACTTAACTTTCAACCTCCCTCAGCTCATGGAGCGACTGAGGACTCTATGCAAACGTCAGCTGCCATTGCTGCGAACGACAGCTGCATCGAAACTGGCTGGAGCTATGGTGGTTACTCTCTATGAGGACTTCCTAGGGCCTGATTTCGCAGGCTGAGCACAGCAAGAATGTATCTGCATAGGCGTCCACTCGCCTCCATGCGCCAGCAAAAAAAGAATATGTATCTATAGATATATATATATATAATGATATATAGTAATACAGACTATATAGACATATGTTTTTTTTTCTCTTGTAGCCCTCTTCTGCGCACAGTGGTATCCCTTCTATCAAGGCATCCGTTTCCTCGTCCTCTTCATCGCCTCAGCCGCCGACCGTGGATATGTGGATGTGTGTAGTGCGCATGTATTGTTCTGTAAGTTGGAGAGAGGAAAGAAGAATTTGTAAATGCATGTGTATATTATGTGTGTATATCATGTGTGTATATATATTATTAGATATACATGTATATATATATGATTATATCTAGATTGAACACTGCATCTATAGCGTACATCTTACAAATGTACATTTAGTTTCACAGCTTTCGCTGTGTTAGCCCTGGGTGTTTAGATTTCATCCCTTTGACATTCAGGGAGCGAGTAGAAATCACGGAGCGCGAACAAGAAGTGCCTTGAAGCTGCACTCATGGATTACATTGATGGAAATGTGCAAATTATCTAGTATGATGTCAAATCATACACCTAAAGTTTATAATGCGCTTCTGTATAATAAACAAAATGTTGAAGAATTACTTGGTAACCAACCGAAGGAGGGCCCAGAATTTTGCCCTGGAGATATACCTCATGGCGCTTTTACTGGTCATGGTTTCTGATGATTGATCATGCCTGCTGCTTCTATACCCTGTTAATCCCTGTTATCTGCTTGGTTCAACCCCATTGCCAGTTTTTCCAATCCGATCTCAGCTGGTTAAATCCCCAGAACGTTCCTCGGTTGGCCAAGTCGCTAAAGGTATAGCACTCCGCAGCCGTGGGCTCAAAAGGTAAAGGCACAGCGGTGGAATGGTCCTAAAAAAAGCGCAACGGAGTTATTCCCAAGATAAAATGGAGATTCGATTGCAAAAAAATGGAGATTTGGGCAATGAAAATGGACTTATCTATACATACATATACATATACATATATATATATATACATACTTAGGCATGGAGGGGGGCAGAGCAGTGAAATTTCGCTGTACCTTGTGAAAAGGGCATTCAATAAACAAAATGTAGAAATTCACAAACAAAAATGACTATTGAACCAAGTAAAATTAGAACAAGACGGAGAAAATGGGGACCGTTGTGTCGGTTGCTCCAAAGATGGGTAGCAAACAGATCATGAAACCAGCCATTGAGGTCACAAGCTTTCCCAAGAAACAACGTTTTATCCTCTGGTTTGGTACAGCAGGCTTGTTTTAGTCTTCCCCCAAGTATGTATGTAATGTACTGTACGGTACGGTACCGGACCGGACCGGACTCGATGTATGGATGTATGGATGCATTGCATGGATGTATGTATGTATGTATGTATGTGTATGTGTATGTGTATGTGTGTGTGTGTGTTTTGTACATATGTATGTGTATATATATATGTGTATATATCGTGCATGTACGTATGTATGTATCTATATAATATGTCTATATGTATATAGACAGTATCACCTCACCCACCCGCAAGACAGCCTACCCAGTCATGGAATTCTCCCAGCACCTCCTCTTGCAGCGGAGAGATTTCTCCTAAGCGACAATGGAAAGGCCGGAGCACATGCTTTCCCTCTCCATCTCCCATGTTTGGTGTTTAAATCCCCATTTTGGTGGTTTTGTATGGTTTTGTCATAGTTTACATCATTCAATTTTGGGCTTATATTCTATTTTCACAGATACATCTGGGAATCAGAATATGGCATCATAAGCCACCTAGAACCTCCCTGAGGCAACCAGTTCTGGCGAAGTAATTACCTAAGGCCCTCCAGAAGCTCAACTGGAATCTACAGGCCATTGGAAGCTGTTTCCCTCCTCCAAAAAAATCACGAACCCTAAAAACTACCGAGATAGTCTTGACCTTTTGAGTCGAAACTTGTGAACAAACAATCTAACGAAAAATGACGTTTTTGCCCTCGTTGGATCACACAAGATGTGTTGGATTTTGAGGGTTTAACCAGACATCCCAGTGCCAAAAATCCCATCTTGGGTCCCAGGATCTGGACATGGTGTACAAGCCACGGCGAAAGGAAGGGTGAGATGATCGAGATGTCTAGTTTAGAGAAACTGGTATTGGTATGTATTGGTATGTATTGGTGTGTATTGGTATGTATTGGTATGTATTGGTATGTATTGGTATGCATTGGTATGTATTGGTATGTATTGGTATGTATTGGTATGTATTGCTATGCATTGGTATGTATTGGTATGTTTTGGTATTTCGAAACATGAAACCAACACAGGATTCAAGCAAGGATACCAATTGATCCAAAAAAAGATTGGATTGGTATTTGAAAGATATCCATAAATCCAGGATTTGGAAAGGTCCGAAAAGTTCGGGAAAGCTCCAAGACAAGCGAGGACCAATTTTGCGGGTCCGCAGATTTCCAAAACAGAACATGTATAACAAGTAATGATTTTGGCTGTGTTCACAAAGTGCCGTCCAAAGATGTCAAGCTAAAGCTTAAAACCAAAACGTTCCCAAGCGGCAATGCACGGGCGATGGCTGTGGCAGCAGAGTACATGGACTGCAAAGGAAGACGGCTGGTAGATAGAAATGATACCAAGAGGAATTTCCATGAGTTTCAAAATCCGGACAAGTTTGTGCATGAATCCAGACATTCAGTTCCACGGCAATCGTCACCATGATGACCATCATCGTCATCAACAGCAGCCACCAACATCTGCAGCAGCACCACCATCATCACCACCGCCATCGGCATCACCATCACCATCAGCATCAACAGCGCCACCATCATCAGTGATCAGTATCATTTTATCAATCATTGAACCTGAATATAAACCTTGCCCTCATTATATTCTTCTGTGTTGCCTTCATCCAATGTGATGCTGGCGGCAAATAGGCGGCCAAACAGGTGATAACAAACAACATGTACAACAGAAGTGCATTTCATCATGCACATCCTTCGATTGATCGATTACAGTTTCATTCCAGTTTCTATAAACAGTTAAAACATTTCACCAAATCATGTCTTTGCATTTTCTTCATCCGGGCTGACTTTGATTCGGTGGCCCTTCTCGGCCTCCGTTCCACGACTAGTTGCACACTTGGGAAGGCCGCACCAACCCGAACCGCTTTGTTTACATCCGTTGGGGGAAAAAAAAACTTGGCACCACCAAGCTGACCTCAGGTAGTTGATCCATGTGACCAAGTCACCACGCCTTGAATTCCACCCCCAGAAGTCTTTCATCTCATCCTTCCCAGGTGCATTGATCTCCAGCACCACATGTTGTGGATGAGCAAAAATTGGCGGCGCACGGGGGGGCCCGACCGTACTCGGCCTCAAATCAGCCCTCCTCCCCACAGGACACGGTCACGTTCCTCTTCGTCCTGACATCAAGACGGCCATATGAATCAGAGGTTGACATTGTAGATATGGAAGACATCTTGCCATCCAAAATACAAGTGGTTGTCTGTGAATCGTCCAACACAACCTATTTCACAAAGCAGGTGGTTGATCGACATAAATGATGATCGTATCATGGTAGATTGCGAATGAATTGCCAAAAGTTTGGATGCATATTCGACATGAACCGGAAACTTAACAGAGAAAAATGGACTCAACCACCTACTCTTTCTACAAAGCCATGAAATGATTTCACCAACATCAACGTCTGGCAGTTGTTCAAAGTGCAGAGGTGCGTTTCCTCGGGAGCCTTACGGACCAAATTGTACTGGACCAGAATCCATGTCTTTCTCTAAAGCTATCAAGTCGTAGATGGACCAATTTCTGGCAGGAAAGAATGCTGAGACATCCTGATACGTATGGCCATTGCAAGTTTGCAGAATGATGAAATCTCTCATTCCAAAAGTCAGATTTTATGACTTCGTGTCAGTATTTGGAGCCACCTGCCCAGGAGACAACTTGATTGCACTGCTAGGGCTGCTAGGAGCCAACTGCCGTCTTGGGTTCCACCTTCCGGCAGATCTCCACGATCTTGCGATCAACTTCCTCAGATCTTTCGTGTGCTTCGGTCCAAAAAGTAAGAAATTGGTTCCCAAGCACAGCAAAGGCCCACATTTCCGGCCCCGATCTAAATCCTTGGATGGTTTCTTGTGTCTCATCATTCTCAGTATCATCCATCAATCCGGTCATGCGAGTCATGCGGGAAGTCACAAAAGCGCCAGTCAAGGGTATGGCTGACACGCCAAACTGGCATTATCTAACTCACTAAATGCCTGTGGAGATCTTTTTGGTGTTTGCATCCGACGGCCAACCCCATTGAAAGCTGAGTTTTGGGAGGTGTGACGCGAAGTTTCCCAAAATCTGTGATTTTGCGGCTGATTCCTCCTGATCATCCCCAAATTTTGCAGGTGCCCAGACTCATCTCCAGGCTGGGCCCCCCAAGCAGAGAGATGCGACAGGTCCGCATCTTCGGGTGCATCGATGGCCTTTCTTAAGGTGTCGTACCTGATGACAAGGTGGGAGGAAATCTGGCACAACCTCTTGGGTCTAGTTGGATGATAGGGTGACGGATCGGGTCATCCAAGTCCCAATGTCCGAATCTCTTGTTTTACGTGTTCCCCTCCAACCATCATTTATCGTGAGGTGGTCTGAGGTCTCTAGAAATTGTATGGGTCAAGATTGGGTGCTGTCAAAGTTGGATGGTCTACAGCTTAAAATGAAGAAATTGTGTGGGTCTCGGGGTCTTACAGTTTGACCCACAACCATATCTAGGTAGGTTGAAACTTATAGTTAGAATCCTTCACAAACCCAAAAAACAACTTTTTTGGAACGATTTTCCGTGCGAGCCTAGCTTCAACTTTTTAGGTGCAGCCTAAGCACCTACTGATTGTAACTCCACGGCCTGACAACCCTTCATGCGAGAGAATCCTTTACCATCGAAATAAGCATTCAAACGAGGGGTTGACCCCAAAAATTCGTGGTTGAACTATCGATAATGAAATAAAGGCCGTCGCGATTCCCATAAAATCCACCAAAACCTGCCATGCTAAATGCCTGCAGTTCCAGACTCAACCGGGGGCACCTGTTTTTGCCTCCCTCTCCACCAGCGCCAGGACGTGGAATGTTGGCCACGCCAGCAGTCTGCCAGGGTAACTCCAGCCGTCCAGAGGCGAACAGTCACCACGTCATCCCACAAAACTATGCAAAACTACTGGTATTGGTAGAATGAATTGAAAGCCATGGTTGTGAACACAAAAGCAAGGTCCGGCGAAAAAGGGTCCACCTCCAGACCCCCGAAGACAAACGAGAACCCTTCGCTACTCATTCGGGAAAGAATGGCCTTAACCCCAAGGGACATTCCCAACTTTAGTAGTTACGCGCCTCACTCTGGCGTTCCTGGCCCTCCTCAACCGCCAGCAGCCGCTCGACTAGGCGACCTCAGCGACAGGGCCTGAGGTCACCTGGAAAATTGGATGCTGGTCACTCAAGGACTTTCACAAACGTAGATTTTGGGGTCTGTCTGAAAATAAGGCATTCATCAAAATCAATCCAAAATTGTCATTTTAAGAGGAAAATACAATAAACCATCAAATTTGCAGGGATCCTATTTTTAGAAGAGAAACTACAGATTGGGAATCAACCGAAGCACTAGATGGGTCACCTGAATTGCATTGTGCCTGGACTCTCTCAGCAGAGGCATTTGACGCCACAAGTCACCATCCTTGAATAGATGGGACATGAAATTAGGCAGACTCCAGAAAGAATTGTCGATACAAATTAGATTGAGGGACGGACGTTGCGTCCACAGTGCTTCGGCATGACTATGACTATGACATAAATTTCTGTGGTAAAATTCCTCGTTTATGTGATTTATAAGCTATCACCAAACATCGTCAACATCACCCTCGGAATAAAGTGCTTCTTCTCGTTCTCCTGCTCCATCTCCCTATCCTTCTCTCCTTCTCTCCTTCTCTCCTTCTCTCCTTCTCTCCTTCTCTCCTTCTCTCCTTCTCTCCTTCTCTCCTTCTCTCCTTCTCTCCTTCTCTCCTTCTCTCCTTCTCTCCTGCTCTCCTTCTCTCCTGCTCTCCTCCTCTCCTTCTCGCCTTCTCGCCTTCTCGCCTTCTCTCCTTCTCTCCTTCTCTCCTTCTCTCCTTCTCTCCTGCTCTCCTCCTCTCCTTCTCGCCTTCTCTCCTTCTCTCCTTCTCCTTCTCCTTCTCCTTCTCCTTTTCCTTCTCCTTCTCCTTCTCCTTCTCCTTCTCCTTCTCGCCTTCTCCTTCTCCTTCGCCTTCGTCTTCGTCTTCGTCTTCGTCTTCTTCTTCTTCTTCTTCTTCTTTTTCTCCCTCGTCTTCTTCTTGTTCTTCCATCAGTTCCCAATGGGTCACCCCGCCATCCTGTTGTTCGCCTGACAGGGGTGGAAACTTGGATTGGTGATGATTCATCAATTGATAAAGATGGGTTGCGACGAACCATAAATGAACCATAAATAGACCATTGAATGATCGAATGTGAACGTCTGTCAGAACACCTGTGTACCTGGATGCATTTCCTTCTAGTTTTTGTTGACTACAATCCTGTTCTCATTGCTGGTTGTAAACACTTATTTGTGGTTTGCTTGTACTTTTAGATTACCAATTCTAGTTTATTGCATCTCCAGAAGTTTGCATGATTATATATCCAAATCCCCAGGTTTGTTGCCTGAATCTCCCCTTGCGCCTTAGACTAAGATCCCAATATGTTTATTTCCCCCATACCTTGTCCCCGGTCGAACTTGGCCTTTCGCGCTGCGGAGGAAAATCAGTTGCATGGCAATACCACACCTGAGAAAGGGAAGGAGGTTTTTACTCATGGAAAAAGATTAAATTCACCAACAAGATGTGGGAACTTACCAACGAAAAGGTGGTACTAGACTTTACCAGCAAGATGTTGGGATTTAACCAACCATATTTGGGGAAATTGCCAACCGAATTCGGGATGTTACCAGCAATATGTGTGATTCTGCCAGCAAAACAAGGGAAGGCAACCGAGAAAATTCCAAAAAGGAAGATCTAATCAATAAAAATGGGAAATTAGATAGAACATGTTGAGAATTGCAAAAATATTGAGATGGATGACAACAAACACACATAGATGATCATAGATGCACAATCCTTTAACTCAAGACTAGGCAATCAACACAGTCTGCATACAATGATAGAACATTATTTGTTGTTGCCCGTCTTGTTGGTTCATTTTCCATGCCATTTGTTGTGGATGCTTATGAACCTCCATGATACACCCACCCTCTGGGTAGCCAACCTCTTTGCTCGCAAAAACATCAACCCCCCATGAGCATCGATGGGCATCCAAACAACGAGATCACAGCCCAAAGTCCAAAGCTGCGCCACTTCTGTGGGCTCGGTTCGCAGGAAGCCTCGAAGCACGGATGCTGGCTTGTGCAAAAATATAATCCCTTATCAGTGGGAGGCAATGGAATTCTTGCTGTTCATTTTCAGAGACCCTGAATCATATTCTGGCCACCTAGATGGAGAAAAGACATTTTGAGCCATCTTTTCCGCATATATGTTAGCACAGTGTGCTTCATCCTCGGACCGCCTGCAGGAGCTCCGGGATTGTGAGGGCAAATTTCTCCTTCACCTCGGCAACAGCAGATTGGCACAACAGGCACACATTCGATGTAAAAACTTCGGGTAGTGCCAGTTCCCAGTTTCTGACCCTTGCCAGGGATAGATCGGGAAAAAAAAACTACTTGACAGCTTACAGATCTTACAGCTTCAGGGAAAAACGCCTTTGCGCCAGCACAATCTTTCAGAAATTTGCTCAAGAGCTAGCTAGCCTCCGTTCCCAATTTCACGAATAGGTTTTCCGCAATCTTCGGCCCAGCCCCGGCCGGGCTCCGCTGCTAATCCAGCTATGCCACAGGTGAAAAGCAAAGCCTTAGAACAGGGTTCCGTGTCGAGATGAGCGACCGAAGGGAGAGTGCACATGGTCACATGGTCCTATTGGAATGTTTGTTTTGATACCCCAACGCCCTGCAAACTATCTCATGAAATGATGAATTTTAGCGTCAACTGTTGGCCACGGAATTCGTGACAGAAAGGACCAACTGGTGGGATGATGGAAATCTGGTTTCAAAAGCTCTCAACCACAGCAGGTTTTGGCTGCGGGACTTATTGCTGAACGAAACCTATTTCATCCTATTTCTATGACAACAGCATGGAAACTTCCCAACATGTCCTGCTGCTCCCGTCTTTCCTGCCACATACTGGCGTGAGTGTTCAAGCCAAGGGTCTCCTAAACATGGCGCCAAGACCACCTGCCGCACCACACGGACGCCGTTCTTTTGCTGAACCCCTCTGTGTGCGTGTGTGTGCGCATGCCCAAATCCAACCTTCAGTGACGCAAAGCAACCTTCTCTTTCCAGTTTGTCACTGAAATTGGGATGCACCACAAAACCTGGGGGTTCAAATGGTGCCGAGCGTCTTGTGCCAAGCATCTGAATTCCTCCTCCTATGACCCCAAGTCTCCAAAGACTCCAACTTTGGTGATTAATGCGAGACTTCCTGAATTTCTCCAAGAGTGAGAAAAAAAATCCAGTCTCCAGCAGCTCCCAGTCAGGTCCCAGATGGGTGCCTTCATGGTGCCCGGCCCTGCAATCCCTGGAGTGCACACAAAGGCCTCAATGGATCACAGCAGGCCCCAGAACGGCGCAGAATGAAAACTACAGAACGAGTTTCTAGAGACTTCCCTAGTCAAGCCTCACCTGAATTTCGCCAACTTCCACAAGCACAAGCTGATGAAAGTAGGTGATCCTGTCAACAACCACGACTGGGAAATGGGTCCGCCGGCTAGCACGAAAATCACCGCCATGAGGCTCAGAAAAATCCCGTGAACATCTGACACCTCAGTGACAGCATACAGGATGCTCAAAATCGATACAACATTTGTAAAACAACCTCCAGTCGTAGTATGGCAAAGTATTTGCCAAGGGATAAAACGGCCATGAGACCTGGCTTCTTGCGAATGAAACAAAGGATCTTCAAAAGTCTATGGTGCTGCCTTCAACCCACTGAGATCTCACGCAGGTCCTGACTCCGCTGCGTTGCACAGCCCAAGCTGCCAAAAGTATCCGGCCAGCCCGACGCCTGTGAAAGGCAGGAATGGGATGGATGCTGTATAATCCCTCCTCCCAATACTACATAATTTCCGTAGATCTGCCTGCAAAAAAACTTTAGGCCCAGGGGTAAGGGACGAAAGCTAGCTTGGCAGGGAGGTTTGCATGAAAACACAATGATGCTGAGGATGCGGATTCTCCCGAATTTGCTGCCGGTGGCGACATGCCGACAGTGTCCCCGGCGGGGATTGAGCCACGGCCAGACTGCTTGTGAACCAGCCAGCGGGGGGGGAGGCTGGGGGTAGTTAACTATGAAGCTTCATGCGAGCCCCCCCAATACATTGCCAAAGCAAGAGGGACTTCAGCTAGCAGAAGCTAGCTTTGGTGAGAAATAGATAGATAGATAAGATAGATAAGATAGAAAAGATAGACAAGATAGATAAGATAGATAAGATAGAAAAGATGGATAAGATAGATAAAATAGATAGGATAGATAGGATAAATAGGATAGATAGATATAGATAGGACAGATAAGATAGATAGGATAGCTAGGATAGCTGGGATAGCTGGGATAGATAGGATAGATAGGATATATTGGAGAGATAGGAGAGGTAGGAGAGATAGACAAGAGAGATAGATAGATAGATAGATAGATAGATAGATAGATAGATAGATAGATAGATAGATAGATAGATCCATGGATAAATCCATCGATGGATCGATAGATCGACAGATGGATAGATGGATAGATAAATAGATAGATAAATAGATAGATAAATAGATAGATAAATAGATAGATAAATAGATAGATAAAAAGATAGATAAATAGAATATAAATAGATAGATACATAGAGAAATAAATATAGATAGAATACGATAGATAGAATACGATAGATAGAATAAGATACACAGGATAAGATAGACAGGATAAGATAGAC